AACTGTGTAAATAAAACTGCAAATCAATGGCTTTTTAGCAGTGAATAACAATGTCCATGGCACATTTCACAGATCTCACTTCACCAGGGAAAGTCTGTGATGAAGTTGTGCCTCTATATTTGAGTTGAAAGACAACATTTAGAAGGTTTCAGTTATATTTGGATCATCTTACTCTGCTTGTTGATTGGTGTTACCAGGGTGATCTTTTTGTAGGATGACAGCTGCACACAGCTATCCACTATAATAATGAATAAACCATCCTGGTACTCTTCATAGTCAATAATAAGCTGAAGGAAGTTTTACAAGGATATTCCTAAAATATTTTGCAGGAGATGGAGTTGTGGATGATCGGAGAAGAATATTTGGATAATGGAAATCTAATACACAGCTAAAGCTTTACCGTTCATAGTTACATTCCCCGAAGCCTGCTGAGCAGGAAGTGTCCTGGAACACAGAGCATATTTGAGACAACATAATGCAACCTTTGAGATGAGTTCTGCAACATACCAAACACTCTTGTCAGTCATGCAGGAATGCACTTAATAAGCTTTATTATAAATGTCCCCAGCTCATTTGAAAAACACAAATACGGGAAATACATATTATGACAGCTGATAACAACCTTTGTGATTCGGGTTAGTACTGGGAACCAAGGGACTCTGTTCAGCCAATGCTTTCACTAATCTGAAATATAAAAACAAATATTTTTTCTTCACAAGTGCAGAACGTGGACTGACAGAGTGTAGACAGAGGAGAGGGTTTTATTCCTCTAATGAAGGCATAAGCATAAAAGTAAGCCTGTATATGTATCTCTCTCCCTCAATCTGATGTCTGCATGTGCTCTCCAGTTGGGAATAACTGCAGATAGATGAAATTTATCCACTTCTAATGCAAACCATATATCAGTAATCCCATTCTCAGAATCCACTATAGAACAGTTCAGTGCCTTTTTGTTTATCACTTTTCCATTGGCATTCACAATAGTTCCTCTTAACTGTTTTTCTTACAGAATTCTACTACTCCTCTGTAAGTATTGCAAAGACAAAGCACGTAGTGTGGATCTGAGCTTGCGTATTGGGCACAGAATTCTTAAATGAGCTGCAACAACACAGCACTACTCACTAGGCATGGGCAAGGATCGACCTGAGGAGATCCTGGCTCTCCAGTGTGTAATCTTACTCCCTTTTGAGAACAAGGCAGTTGTCTGACAGTCCAGTTCTGTCCAAGCTGGGGTATCCAGAAAACATTCCTGAAGCAGACTGACTTTGGGATGTGTGGAATTTAGTCTGGATATCTCTCTGCTAAACAAGAAAATTCAGAATTAACATTATCAGTGAAATGTACCATTCTGCAATTAGCTAAAGTCTTATACAACAGTGCAATAAGGCAAACAGATGCACTGGACATTTCCAACCTGAACATTATACCTTGAACTCTAAGGACCACTGACTACCTGTGGTTAGTCTTATGTTCTGCTTTGGTGTAATACCTTGGTAAGGCTAGGCCAGAACTTTAATCTTCCTCTGTGTTAGAGTTGAATTAATCTTGCCTAGTTTCACCTCTGTGTTAGAGTTGAATTAATCTTGCCTAGTTTCACCCATATAGTAGTTACAATTTAAGCTAACCTTCTCCTATTGTCAGTGGTGAGACATGGGCATGCATAGAGGGCAGTTCATGCCAGGTCTAGAACAGATCTGGCACACCTAGACGGAAGTGAATTTACTTTGTGTCTCTCACCTATGGCTATAGGAGCTTAGCCAACTTGGGTATCTGCCAAATGCTATATTCAGTGAATTTCATCAAAGGAGCACTTCTAAACAAAATGTACCCTTTTGTCGTGGTTCTGCTCGAGTGGGCAGCCGAGCTCCACCACAGCCGCTCTCTCACTCCCCTCCTCTAAGAGGAATGGGGAGAAAATATGTGAAAGGGGCTCAAGGATTGAGATAAGGACGAGAAAATCACGCAATAATTAGTGTAACGGGCAAACCAGACTCAGCATAAGAAGACAGATAGTAAGATTTATTGCTCATTACTAACAAGCTAGAGAAGTGAGAAACAAAGGAAAGAAACCAAAAGCACCTCCCCCCCATCCACCCTCTTCCACCTCCTCCCCCCGAGCGGCGCAGGGGAACGGGGGAATGGGGGTTATGGTCAGTCTACAGCACTTCTTCTCTGCCGCTCCTTCTCGGTCACTCTCGTCCCCTGTGCTGTGGGGTCCCACCCACGGGATGCAGTCCTTGACGAACTGATCCGGCGTGGGCTTCCCACAGGCAGCAGCTCTTCCAGAACTGCTCCAGATATGGGTCCGTACCACGGGGTCCATCCCTCAGGAGAAAACTGCTCCAACCTGGCTCCCCTACGGGCAGCAGCTCCTGCCAGATCACCTGCTCCTGCGTGGTCTCCTCTCCACGGGCTACAGGTCCGGCCCGGAATCTGCTCCGGCAGGGGTCTTCCACAGGCGGCAGCCTCCGTCGGTGCAGGGCCACCTGCTCCACCGTGGTCTCCTCCACGGGCTGCAGCGTGGAACCCTGCTCCACCGTGGTACTCCATGGGCTGCAGGGGGACATCCTGCTTCACCATGGTCCTCACCACAGGCCACAGGGGACTTCTGCTCCGGCGCCTGGAGCACCTCTCCCCCTCCTTCTACACTGACCTTGGCACCTGCAAGGCTGTTTCTCACTCCCTTGACTCTCCCGGCTGCTGTGTGGCGCAGCAGTTTTTTCCCTGTCTTAAATATGCTCTCACAGAGGCGCAAAACAACATCGCTTATTGGCTCAGATTTGGAAAACAATGGGGCCCTTCCCAAACATGGGGCGGCTTCTAGATCTTTCTCACAGAAACCACCCCTATGGCCCCCTGCTACCAAAGCCTTGCCACGTAAACCCACTACACCTTTATACCAACTGTACAGTTTTGTTTAGCTTTAGGAAGGTCTTCAGTAGGAAATGGAGCATCTATGCAAATACACCACATAATTCCATATCCAAAGCCCTATGCAGAGAAGATTAAGTCACAGGAACTCATCTTCATGACACTGAACAGCAAAACCTCTCACTTCCTTGGTATTAACAGTGCCTTAGACTTGTAAAGACATACTGTCTTCCTTGTGGTTCACACTCAAAGTTTTGACACATTTCTTTGCTTTATATATATATATATATATACGTATATATATACATGCATATATATAAATATAAAAATAAATAATATAAAAATAAATAATATAAAAATAAATAATATAAAAATAAATAATATATAAATATATATATAAATAATATACATGCATATATATATATATGTATATATATACATGTGTATATATATATATTTTTTTTTCCTTCATTCAGAATTGAAATTTGGAAATACTGACCTTGGAATAGTTACAGATTATCATAGGAAAATACTGAGCTGTCCTGATAAAACAGCTATAAGGAAGATGCTTTCATTAAAAATGTTCTAGAATTCCATATTATCGTAGTTCCTCAAAATATGTCTACTCCTGTGAAGTGGTTGTTGTAGGAACATTACTAAATATACAGTACACAAAGACCGTGACTGCATGGTCAAGGTGGTGGATACATTTATCACTTCTTGATTTTCCCTTCTTTTGCCCTTCCAATTTTTCCTTTTCCTTTCTGGCACCCCTAAACAGATTAGGGGACATATCAGGTTGCTGGTTAATGGAGATTAATTGTGTGAGCTATACTAACTATGTACAAAACTTAATGAGACAAACATTCCTCTCCTGTATACTGACATGCTCTCTGAAACAAGAAGGGATCCCTGACATCACTACTAGTGCTGAATGTCAGAGAAAGGTGGTCTAGCAAGATGGTCATGTGCTACCATGGGATAAAATCATAAAATCTGTTTTCAGAGACTTTGCAAAAATCACTTAATTTCTTTGTCTCTCAGTTTCTTGGGGAGGGAAATATTAAACCTGTTTTCCCAACTTTTATCCATCCTATCTGTTCATATTTGGAATCTCTGTGGGGAAAGTGATTTCTCCCAAAATGTCTTTGTACACTTGGTATCACAACTACGATGTTGTCCAAGGAATAAATTCTTTCTCCTGTCAGCGTTATCCCAGTACAAACAAAAGGCATAGATATTGTCAAGATACTGTAGACACTATCACTGCCACACAGTGCTCATGCTTTACTTTGTGTTCATCATCCTGTCAGTTCTTGCATCTTGATAGTACAGAACTTGTGGTAAGCAGCAGCTTTTGGTGTGGAAAGTGGGCATTAGCTAAAACAATATTTGCAGAGAGTTTCATTTCTGGAAAGGTTCAAATGAGTACCCCTGGAGCACAGCAGGCTACTTGTGACAGAAAGCACCTTGCTTCTTACTCAGCCTCTGGACACAAATCTCTTGTCTCTGTGTTTAGAATAATAGCAAAATGTCAAGAATTAACTTATTTGAGATGCCAACATTTTTTTTTAACTTGTGGTCACTATTATGATATACTACATCCACATGTAGTTTATCCCATGCACACACATAAACACATACTCAAGCTCTTAAAGGGACATCTGAATTTGTCAAGTATAACTATCTTCCTTCAGGCTAACAGAGGGACATATGACTTGCATTAATAGTTGTCATGACCATTAAGTCTTGGTCTACAGAAATAATCGATTTTGATTTTAACAGATTGCAAGGGGTTAGAATGAAGCTTCATTTTCTTGAATGACCACTGGAACAAGTGGAAAATTATTCTGATAGAGCTGTGAAATACTTTGTGCCATCATATTATATGGTTCTTCAAAACCAGGAAAATGTTGTGAGGTCTTGTAAGGAGGCGTTGTAAAATATAAAATTGCTACAACAGCTGAAAGACAGAGAATGATTCAATTGAGAGAAAACTAATGAGCAAGTGTCAAAATGGACAGTTGGTGTCAGCTCCAGAAGGATTTAAAACCTAGACATAAGCTTGAAGAAACCATGTTAACAGAGCCAATGTCTGTATGAAAAGAACTTTGTACTTAACAAAAATCCATTGTAAACAACATATTTGACAAAGCCTTTATTAAAGTGCTTAGGAGAAAAGAATGGTCCATTAATGAAATACTTAAGTACTATATTCCACTGATATTCAACATTATACAACGTTATCCTTTTTTCTGAAAAAATAAATTCCAAACATAGAGTGAGAGCTTGGTATATTGATAAATTTTGGTAAGAAGTTCATCTTTCCAAAAAGGCAAATCTATGAGAAAATTCTTAATGTTTCATTTATAATGAAATTAAGATTACATATCAAATGAAACAAGACTTTCTGCTACCATTTTAAAACATTTCTTTATGATCTATATATAATAGTCTCAATAACATTTAGGAAATCAATTGTATATACTGTAGAACTATTTATAATTAATCTCAGAGGACTGCAAAAATAATTTTAGGCTTTATATTTCAGCAGAGGCTAACCTTGTGTTGCACATGGCTTGCACACAATTCAAATAAAGTTTCCTTGCCAAAGATGTATCACATGGCTGGTCTGCTGGCATGGCTGCGTAATCCAAACCCCTGACTCTGGGAGGAAGTGAGCCAGTGGAAGTCGTTGAGGCCAACACCTTCAAAATAGCCTGGACACTCAGCCCAGTCCTGGTCACAAAGGGGCAGTGAGATATTAGGGCAACCATTGCCATATCCTGCATGCGAGCCTTTCCAAATGTAAGCTTCTCTCTGGCTTGTCTGCATACTCGAAGCACTTGTGGCTCTTGGGCATATTAATTTTTCAGTAAAATAGACCACACTGATTACCATCCACCCCGTGTTCCATGAAGCTGGAAGTGTGTGAAATTCTGTTGTTTTTTGTTGTTATTGGTGGATTTTTTCTTCTTCTTTCCTGAAGGTCAAAGAGGGAGAGGCATTGAGAAAGGAGTAATGACACTGAACAGGAGTTGGCTTGTGCTCAAGGATCTCAAGGACATTTAAGCATTACAATGCTTAACTCTGGGACATCCTGCTGTGCAGCAGAATCCTTAGTTGGCAAGTGCCCAACCTCAAAGCACACAGAAAAACCGTCACTAAGGAAAGGAACTCTCAGAAATTATGAGTGGAATCTGGGAGACAGCAAGCATTGACAATGGAGACAAAAACTGGCAAATTACACATGCCCATATAGCTCTGACTGTAGCTTGCACTGGCTTGGGAGTTATCATCTCATTATCATTGTTGTCAAAAAATAGGGAATTGCCAATTTTGATTTACCCTCTAAAAAGGATCCAGAACTACATCTCTACACTCGTATTTTAAACATTTAAATAACACACAGGAGACACTGATTTATTTTCATCCTCTGCTTGGTTCAGAACAGGGATCTGTTTATCTGCATTTATCACATCAAATATGCTGGTCCCTGGAGTAAGGCTGCTGAGGAATCACTGTCTATCTGCCACACTCCAGTAGTGCAACTTTCAACAATATTTGAATGTCCATTCAGAAAGTGATGTAGCCTGAGGGGGGCAGGCTCTCACATGAAATATGGAAGGCACAGTTTACACACCCAAGTACAGTATTCAAAAAAAATGTTGGGAGCCTGGCTGGATCTCATCCCATCTTACAAGAGTTCTGATACCTAGACCATCTTCCTTTTTTCCATCTTAATTTTCCTTAGTTAATATTGTAGAATCCATTCTAGTATGAAATAATGATAGCATAGATCATAGGAAAATAAGGCAAAAAACAAATCTTAGGAAGTTCCAGATGCTATCATATTCTGCTTGAAGGTGACATCGTTGCTGGCAGAGGTCTATATAGCTGTTGCTCCGCAGGCAAACCCGTCTAGTATTTATCCTTCCATCAGAAGACAGACAAAACTGCCTTGTTATAACTAATTGTATAATTTATTTTCAGTCCACATAACCACGAGCATCAGTTTACTACATTCTCAATCACGGACAGTATTACAGTATTACTATTAACATCTCTGTTCTCTAGTCTATACAACATTCATTCAGCATTTATTCAGCTAATGTTTCTAAGCCTCCCAGTTGCTCCTTTTAGCATTCTACATTTTCTCTAGTTGTACCAGTTGTATCTGTTTTGAGATACAATGCCTGAAAATGGGCACAGGATTGCAGCTAAAGCCTTATTAGCCTACAACAGAACAGAAGGATAACCTCGTGTGCCTCCTGCCTGCTTGTGAGTCCCAGTCCATTCCTTCTTTTGAAGAATTACCATTTACCTAGTTAGCCTATAGGTCATTAGGCTTTCCAACATGCTCAGTTTTGTCTTTGCTCTCATCAAAATGGAATTTATTAAAAACCGTATTTCTGATTTTTCACAATCAGCTTAAAATCTAAGCATGCCCTCCAACAAGCTCAGAATCCATACTGTTTGGGATACCTGCAAATTTGATGGGCTCTATACCTTCATCTGAGATATTAATTAAGACATGAGTTCCCAGAGCAGAACCGTTTGAGAGTTCTTCTTTGAGCAGTTTCCAAACAGTTGAATACACAAAGGGGGTTCATTTCCCCGTTTTTCATATGAAAATGTCATGTGAAGCTATAAAAAACTACATTAAAATCAAGATAAGTGGTTTCTCCTGATCCTATAACCACAAGAATTGTTGACTTGCTACAGAAGATTAAATTGATTTGGCACAGCTCCTTCTTGAAGATTTTGTAATGAGAATAAGACTGCTCCAAGTTAGTGTTATTTACTCCTTTGTATTCTTCCAGGAACATATAAATATTCTATTATTTTCCCAGCATTTTTAGAGAAACTTAGGTTGAACTACTCATCTAAAAGAACCTTTTTTTTTTTTTTTCTGTTTAAGAATATGCATTCCATTTGCTCATCTATAATATTCTGCAATCTCATCATCCGTGATCTCTCAAAGATATCAGGAAATGGCACTGAGATAAATTCAGTCAATTTTCTAAGTATGCTGAGGCTGAACCAGTTTTAATAGATACAATAATCTGATTACTTTTACCTCTTGGTTTTCCTGTCCTGACCCCTTATCTTTTTGTCACTAATGTTAATTGTGTTAACTAGTTAAACCCACTTAACTTCTTGTTGTAATTTGAATTGACAGGGGCATTAAGCACAGCTTCATCAGTTAAAGACTTTCTCTCTATTCGGGATCCTTTAGTTTTCTTGCTACTATAATATTTGTTGAAAGTTTCTTCTTACTTTTTGTGTCATTTGATAGTTGTTTTTTTTATTTGTCCTTTGCCTTTCTGATTTTGTCTTAAGATGACTATGCCATTTTTTCTTTCGCAGCCTTAGGTCTGTCTTCTGGTTTTTGTTTGTTTGCTTTGGTTTGGTTTGGTTTTCTTTGGTTCTGTTTGGTTTGGTTGGTTGTTTTTTTTTCCTCTTCTTACTTCAGCAACATGACTTTAAGAACAGCTTAAAACTTCCCCAAAACACTCAGCAAGTTCTCTGTTTTAACCCAACATCAGGACATAATCACAGTATTGAATGGTTAGAATTCTGAAAAATATTTTACATAAAGTGTTACTAAATTCCTGGAACCGTGGAAACCTCAGATTTGAGATGCTTGCCTGAGAAAGCTCCCAATAAGATGTGATAATCTGAGCTTCTGCAGACTCTTGTTTATAAACTGTTGCTGCTGCCTGTGTAAAATCAAATTCTGCAAAGACACATCCTCTGACCAAGAGACAACTAATTATAAGAAGCCATTGGTCATTGATGTTGCTTGATTTTGCTCATACATTACTTTTCAGCTTGTATAATGAATGATATAGTTGGCAAAGAATGTCAGTCATGTGATCACTTGTTCCAGAAAACACGAAGCCTTAGCATCTGTTGCCAAAAGATACATACATACCTAGTCAATTTACTATTAACTTCACTTTTGGATCCAAATGGAGCAACACTGATGATCCAGAACCTTCAGGGACCTCTCTTCTCCAGAAACAAGTTCAATTAGTTAGTTCTTAATTAGTTGGCAATCCTTCTTGTTCATTCTTCACTAATGGCACTGATGACATCAATACTTTGAATGCTGATAATGCTAATTCTCTTATAATAATGAAAACGGATTTCCTTGATAAGAACTGTAGAAGTCCACGTAAGGTTTCTCACACTGTCAATTTCTTTACCATAATGACCTTGACTGTTAGTAGACTGCAGGATGGATTTTTCATCTTGAAAGAAATACAAAAAGAAAATCTTGACTGTTCATGGACAATCAATGTCACAGACAACTTCTGCCTTACCCACGTCACTGTTAATGATCAATCTTGTAAACATTTCAAAGATTTATATTCTTCACTGGGAACCCTCTAAATATGACAAACTTTCTTTACCCTGTTGTTAAATACTTGTTTGATGCCTACATATGAGAATCTTTGTTAGGTTGTTCTCTTTTATATTGTTACATTATTTTAGTTTATAATGTATAATATAATAGTAATATATACATACACATACATACTGTGTGCTTAACTGATTTTTGGAACACTACTCTGAATCTTTAATTTGTTTTGAAAAATGCTAATGTTGTCCTCCACAAACACAGTTTACAGGTTGGTATTCAGTTCTGAAATACAGGTTCTGTCCTGTGTAGCTATTATTTATTTCTAGTGATCCTGATCCCTCAAAGCAAGACATCTCTTACTGATGACACCAAAGTGAGTGCAAGATGAAAATATTCTGTGATTGGACTTGTACCCTGAAGACTGCTTTCCTGCTATACACACAACTGCTCTCATTATCTCCACTCGCTATTGAATTTGCAACTTGCTAATTAACATGGCTGCAAGTAACCAATTCTGAAGGAAAAGAAAGATAGGTGCTCTAACATGAACTGGCAAGTGCCATGCTGTGAACTTACCTGTCCCTTACACTACCATCCCTTTTCAGAAACTGCCTGCAGACATTGCTAGTTGCTTTTTAGTGCTGCTCCAATGTTGCTGTCCCAAACTGAAGACAGTAGTTCCAGTACAAAGCTTTTAAAAGAAAGTGTATTCTCATAAAATGGCATCTATAATATATAATTAGTCATCTAATTCAAGCAATGGGCTTTTTAGAAGTAAAAAGTACTCAGTAGCTCCCACTGAACATAATGTGACTAGGCTACTACATGTGGACATATCTAAAATAGATTGATTATTTGTCACTTGGAGCTCGCAGCGTACATAGCATCTGCTTATTATTCATGGTGCACAGTTACTTCTGTTCTGTCTATTTTTCAGCTATTATAGTAGTCAATTATACTACAAAATGACAATTACACTGCTTAGCACTTCCAGCCAAACATTTCTGTTAGCCTGCTGTAATGCACAAATGTTGTTTAAAAATACTAGCACTGCAGGTCAACAGATTCTGTTATAAGCCAGCTGTTTCACACTTCACAAGAAAAATATTTCCTCACTATTTTCTTTAAGTCTAAACATAGCTATAAGTTGTCTAAATACAAATTTCAGAATGCAGATCTAGGATTGGTCTTCCAGGGATTCTCTATATAATCAGAATACATTCTTAAGTTATTTCTTTCTTATAAGATTTTCCTCAATGTTTAATTATCAATATTTATTTTCTAAGAAACATAATTAGTATAACTTCTATAAAAATCCAAACATTTCTATCGAATCAGTTTAAGCCATATTTTGGTGATTTTTTTTCTTTCAGGCAGAGTGCACTTCTGGCAATCTTTTAGTCTATGCAGTTTCTCTGAAATGTTCTCCAGCATGGTCTGGTGAAATACAGATATTTTTTGAGTATGATTGTGTAAAGTGTGACTAGAATGAAAAGGGTAAGAATAATTTTGTCAGGTAGAATTTCTAAATACTGATCCTTTTTCATTCCTGTATTGTTTCCTACATGTGAGATGAACTTCATGGGGAAGAAAGAATGTCAACTAAGACAAGGCTCTTCCTGACTTCGAGAAATTTCATGTTTTCTTTTAGGGTGACCATAAGACTCCTCTGTACTGTTGGAGCATCACAGAGGTGACTTAACATTGTACAGAAAAAGTGGCCAGGAACAGTTACTTATTTCAAAAATCTCACATGAAAAAACTGCAGATTTTCTTTGTGCCACAAACCCACAGCACGTTCAAGAGACTGTTGCAACCCCTAGGTCCTGTTGTACTTAAAAAAAATACATTTCTGAGCCTAAGGAATCTCAAAGCAAGTGTAACCTTGCATATAAACATGCAGAAGTTATGAAGTGACATGTAATAAACAGAACAGATGAAGGAATATGAGATAGACTGTTGTATTTCTTACACTGACAGGTAACCTTATTTACAAAGCATGTACCTTAAATGACATACAGTCAAAAAACATAATGACCTTCACAGCCTAAAAGAGTTTTGCAGCTGTGCAACAGATTCTGATAACAACATGATACAATATATGCTAGATTCAAGGTCATTATTGCTATTTAATTCAGAGCAAAATTATTTTCAGAAGCCTTTCTCTTAATGGCTTCTATTTTCCAAAAGAAGCAGATATTTTCCTTTTGAAAACCGGTGTAGATAAGATACATGGGGATTCTGCATCAACATCTTCTCAAGTCCCAGATATGTTATACAGAATTTAAGTTTGCAAGAGATTCTGTCTATCACGTTTGAAGATGGATATCACAGTAACTACAGAAATTAGAAAGAAACTTTCCTGTTCAAACCTACAGAGCATGCTGTATCTGAAGCATCTGATACACATCGTTCTCAGAAAATACAGATGACGGATTTGGTGGACAGCAGTGAGACAAGTCATTCCTGGCACCTTGAACACATCTTCCCTATATTTGGTGGGAGACAAAACTTTAAGGACTTTTGAGGTATTTTCCAGGTGGACTACTGACTAGGTTATAGCCAGGAAGGGACAGACATATATTTGTCTTTTAATGAGTAAAAGAAACCAGCAGATGCAGGATACTGTGAGTGACACAAAACGGCCCCAAAATACACCAACTAATGTATCAGCTCCATCCTAGTGGAGACAGTAAGAAGACAGCAGAATGAATAATGAAAATGTTTGAAGATCTGTATATTCTTCAGAGATAAAGGTAGGTCTGTGAAAACATTTTTTTTTCTTGCTATACTACAGAAAGAGAGGGAGAAAGTGAGATATATATATATATATTTAAGAATGAATATACAAACCCAGTTGTTTTATTTTTGGATTAAAGCCCAGTAAAGCCCAAGGATTTTGGATATGCAGGAAGCAAAAGACTTGTGAAAAGATACACAGAGAACAGAATCTGACCAGTGCATAGAAAGGAATGGTCACATCAGACTACCCCAAGTTCATGTTGTGAACATTACATTCAAATCAGTCAGCAACATATTTATGGAAATTCAGATGATGGCAGTACTATGACAATAACAGGAGTATAAAAATATCCAGCACCAAATATGACTTAAAAGAAAAAAAAAAAAAAAAAGTACTAAATATCTAAATGATAAATAAACAAAGATGTAAACTAAAACTTCGTTCCTCTGATGGTGGGAAAGAGCTCTTTATAAACACAAAGAACAAAAGTAATCCAAATGTCTACATTAAAGGGTTAAAGAGAACAATAGCTATGCCTTGAAATTGACTGGTTCACAGAAGGATTCAAAGGTAAAATTGAAATCACCTAGAGGGACAAAATTCCAGTCCTAGAAAACATTTTATATCTAAGTATACATGAACATACATGTATATTTGTTGCAGGAAGAACATCCAAAAATCTCTCAACATATATTCAAAGTTGAGTCTGACTTAGCAAAGCCAATTGTACCTAAGCAAGTACTTGGAAGAGAACACTTGAGATGTAGCATTTATGTCTGCTAAGGCTGAAAACATGGCAGGACAGAAAAACATCATTCTATATTTACCATATATTATGGAAAGATTGATGACATGTCACCCAAAGGATCTCAAGCAAGCCATAACAATGTATATGAGACAAGCTTTATTTGTTCAGTTGGCTGTAATGTGGGTAGTGGAAAGAAAAAGAGATAATGATGATTCACAGAGAAAAAATCTCAAAGTATAAATCATGCAGAATGTTCAAAATACAAATCATGGATAAATCAACAATTCTTCCAAATTATGAGCTAAATTGTTTGTCCACAAAAGCAGAACAATGTTGAAAATATAATGGAAAAAAAAAATTGAAATTATAGACAACAGAGAAAATGTATACTGTAGGAGTTGGACTTGATGATCCTTATGGGTCCCTTCCAACTCAGGGTATTCTATGATTCTATGATGAACAAGGAAATCTATGGGACAATGAAAGGATTGCATTACTTCCAACACATTATTTACATTTTAGAAAGGGATCTCAGGAGATTCTCATATCAGTTGTTTCTGCATTTTAAATCCACAAGTGCATGGAATAACTGAGTATATTAATGCAGCACCAGGAAATAAGTCAAGACCCAGTAATGCCTACATGTGACTACAGCTTACTAACTTTATCTTAGTTATCCAGTGCTATGTATCTCTAATCAAATGGCTCATTGTACTGGTACATCCATATGTCAAAGGGTCTATACCAGGAACCCAAAAAAAAATTTGGCGATAGATAATGAAACTGTTTAATGCAATTCGTGTATAGAAGGTGATCATTCAGCATAAACACTTGGTGGCTTTGTGATGTACTGTTTTAAACAATCCCTATGTTATTGCTGGGAAGAGAGCTCTGTACATCCATAACTTCCATTGTACCTTCATGGTTTCCAGACTCCAGGGCACTGTCATCCCATTTTACCACGAAGTGCTGTGGTTCTGCCAAAATCTCTTATGAGCTTCAGAAAAGAAAGCTGCTTTTTTCCACTGCCTGAACACTAAGCTCTCTTTCTGTCCATAGGCAGCAGGGATATGATTAGTCTAAGTGCTGGACTGAAGACACTGATTCTCCTACAAGCTTTTCTTTACTTTCACTTACAGAATTAAAAATTGTATTTATTTTAATTATCTATGGTTTAATTATTGTCCTTTTGACTGAGTTTAGATATCATTGTCATTACATTCTGAAACTGTATAATGTGAAAATGCACTTTCTGCTTATAGTCTAAACAAATAAATAAGTATATAACTATAAAATGATCTTTCCTGTACTTACAAAAAAAAAATGTTATAGCAAAAAATACTATTATAAAGCACGTGATGTGTCTTGGACTCTTGTCAAATTTCAAGTCCCCCCCCTCCCCTCCTTTTTTTTTTTTTTTTCCTAATCAAAAGTAGAAGATGACTATAATTTTTATTGCTTTCTTTCCTGCAAAGAATCCCAGGATAGAACCACGGAAAATGCCTGTCCCAGCCAGCAACAGTGCAATGGGCTTCTGGTTTCTGATTGGCAATGCCTCCTCCCCAGGAAAACGTCTTGTAGTAAAATAAATGTGTTTGTGCAGTGGTGACTATTTGTCACTGTAGACCCTGACACAGGCATTAAAGCATCTGCCATTTAGAACTGTGTCTCATAACTGCCCAACATGAGAGCTGTAATGAAATCCTACCTTACCATCTTGAACCAGAGGAGTCTGTTTAGTTAGCAAGGTTGCACCTCTCAGATACTAACAGGACTGTAACTGATATGAACACTAAAGTCCATATCCAATCAAAGGAAAACAGCAGTGATTTGGAACAGCAATAGAGCCAAGGCCACTGTGAATAAGACTTTTTTTTTTTTTAAATCTTCCCCTACAGAGACTGTATAATTATATGAAGTAGTCTTTTTCATATCTCTATCTTACTGACTTTCTAGCCCCACAGCATGCATTACGATTCACTACTCCACTTGCCAAACTTGCATTTCAGGGATGCTTGTTTACATGTTCTCTGAAATGGCCATATACTTATGCACAAGCACCAGCATGCAGACTACACGCACTTCCTCTAGTCAGTTCCCAAATTTGCAGTGAGTACACGTGACATTGTGGATATCCAAATAATATAATTTCCTTGGAAAAATAGAATTTGAAGAGAGTACAGTAAATAATAGAATCTAAGTAAGCAAAAGTCAGCTGGAAGTATAACAACATATATAAATGAAAATCAGGACTTAAAGCTGCTCCATGTTCCATGCTGCTGCAGACCACTCTGGAGTTCATATAACTTAGAAAATTGAGTTCAGAAAAGCAGTGTGCCTACATACCACAGGCCATGGAGTCTGGCATGCTTCATTCCAGCAGCAGGAGTTATTTTTCCATGAATGACAGTCAAGTTCCTTTGCTTAAATTTCCCACAGGCCATTGCCAGCATAATAAATAATAATAATAATATAATTATATTAATAATAATAAAATCTGGTCTCCCATAGGCTCACCATTGCTCAGACTTTCAAGAAAATTCATGGAAATTATCTAATCTCTCTTCAACAAACATTTATCTGGCAAACTGTAGATTTGGGATAAATATATGTTCTTTACCAGATTGCATGCATTTTGTGCACTAGCATTGCCCTTATGATGTCCACATCACTCAGACATTTGAAACATCTCTAGAAAAGAAAGATGCCTTAGTCCTTCTCATCTGCTTAAAACTTCTTTCCATGTTTCATTCTTTTAGGCTTTTGCAATCCTTGGCATAATGTACTATTTCAGCAGTGAATTTCATAGTGCAGCAACACATCAAATTTTTCTGTAGTTCTTACCAGTGAACTGTGACTATCAGTAGATTAGCAGATAGTATAGGTACATCAGGATCAGATCTGTAGAAATTAATAGTGCTGATGACCTAGCATCCACTTCACTTTTTAGGGTACTTTCCCGCTTAGTTTCCTTGGAACAAAATCCAGATGACACATGCTGAGAGCACCCTGTAATGAGTATCAAAATGCAGTAAGTGTGGGCTATTCAGAGATTGGATCCATAAGGGCATTCCTGACAAATGAAAATGAGAATGTAAACACACCCTATATGGGTATTTGAGTGCACCTCTTGACACTTCAGGAGGAAAGGCAAAAAATTAACCCTAGAAAAACTTTGACTGGTGTCGTAATTATACAACATACAGGTAATAATAGACCAAAAAAAAAAAAAAAAAAGTTAACTGATATCCCCAGATATGCTGTCGAGCCCAGTCTGAATATACTAAAAAACTCAGGTGAGAAGGTCTATGTGAATGGGAAGTGACTGAGAACAGGACAGGAGAACAAGCTTGGACTTTGTAGCAAAATTACTCTAAGTGGTTGCCTTGAGACTATAATGAGGACAGTGTATGAATTTTCCTGTTGAGAAGCTAGATTAAAAATTGTAAAATTGAAACAGGAGGTGATACAATTCACACTAAAAAATAAAAGTAAAAAAAAATAAATCATCCTTACCTAGGTGCCCATTCAGAGTGCTAAACAGGAACAGTTATGCCTGATCCCCACTGGTTATTGATACCGCTGTGAAGAGTCAAAGGGATAAAAGGTTAAAATTCCATCATGCCTGTGGCTGAAGTAAGTGAAGAAGAAAAAGGAAGCATTTGGAGTGGTACACAGGGCCCTGTGGGTCCAAGATAAGAAAATATTTCTCTGTAATTCCAGACTATAAACTTCTGCTCAAGCCATAAGATGTCAAGAGTGACCTGATCAGTTATGAACTCACTATTCAACCCTAATTATACAGAATATTTTAGAATTAATTTGGAGGAAAGGGTGATTGAAGTTCTAGAGATCAGCTGTGACGTAAAAGCAAATTGATTACAGGTAGAGTTTTGCAGTGGTCCCCCTTCCAATTCCATGCCCACTTTTTTCTTGTTTTTACTTCCTTTTAGATCCTTGTGCTTATATCTAGCAAGATCTGGCATGTAAGGTGTGAAGAGCAAAAGACAAGCATCAACTTATGAATCCTCCACTTGGCCCACTGTTGTAATGGAGAACATTACTAACAGCATTTTCTTCACATATGTTCTGGTTGCTTGCTAACTGTATTATTTTATGACATTGGTTATGACCAAGGAGCAGAAACGGGTCACGCAGTGTGATGGCTATAGCACAATCAAAGTTGCTTGTGTGGAGGGGGAATGGACAACTTCATCAAACTGAAAATCAGTTGCAGTTGATGAAAGTTCTGCTCAATAAAGAACTATGTTACACCTACATTACTCTGAGGAACTAGGTCTGTTTACTACAGCTCTTAATGAATAAATGTTGGAAAGAAATAAGATTTTATTTTGTTTCCTGCTTAAAGCAAAAATGCTATTGATAGCTGAAGGAACATGTGGCTCCTAAACTTCCACTTTTGAAACTCCCAAAGTCAAGCTAAAACTCTCTGAGAGGACAACCACATTTTAGTAGTGTTTCTCCCACAACCTAAGTTTTTATTTGTGCACCTCACCAGTAGATTGTTCTTTTCTGTCTTGTTCCAAACACCACCAGAGCAGCAGCAAAGAAACTAATGATTAAAAGAAAAAATAATAACTGTAGTAAAGGTGAAAAGTTTTAAGCAATCAGCAGACATTATTATTTTTTTATTACCACTGTCATTACCAGTATGGGAAAAACATCCCTTTGGTACTGAAAAGCACATAATGGCAAGGGGCAACATGAGAAATGCAAGGGATGGGTAAAGGCTGACATATCCCTTTTTAAAGGTAGAAAATTAAATCACAGGGAAATTAAATGACTGGTCAAAGGTCAAACAGCAAACTAAGTACAGAGCGAGGAAACTGTGTCTTATGTTCAGCTCCTTAACTGTAAGGCTACTACAAAGTGAAAAAAATACCTCAGTTCTGGAATATTAATATCAAAATTAGTTTCACTGAAAACAGGTTGAATTTCTCTGTCTCGTTCAAAAATGGATTGTGTACTGCCTAATTAAAACTGAAATGAGATCCATTTCAGCAATACTGATTTGGTCAAAACAAAATTTCAGCTACTCCATAATATATTTGTACTCATAAAAACTGGTTTGCAATCAGTTTTGGAGAAAGTCATGCCATTAATCAAGGTAACTGCAGCTTTTAAGAATGGAACAAGAATGCCACAGTTCCTTTCAGAAAGAAGTCAGAAGCTAACTTTGAGAGATGCCCTGGTATTCCAGGGCTATATATGTTTTATTTAGATAAATATAATATATATATATATATATATATATAATATATATATATATATTTATATAAGCAGAGAGAAATTGCATGTGATTAAGGAGAGCAAGGCAGCCCAGAGAAAGAAGCAGACAGGACATTTTCCCATAGCTTACCTTCCGTGAGGTGAGAGAGGCCTAGACATGATGTGACATTACAGTATATGCTAACAGAGAGTGATCACAAGCTGCGTTTCTGTCTCCGGGGCCAGGAAGCCCTGGAAGTCTTGCCAGGCCCTGGGGATTAAACTGCAATTAGAACAGATGCCTGAGCTTTGATTGCCCTAAACACTGTCAAGGACAGGGGCTGTCCGGAGAGCCACATCGGACCGTAACCCAGTCACCTGGAGTCACTTCTGTCACCTCAGGGGCAACATGGGAAAGTTCAAATGAAAACGCCACACTGAGGTGCACTAACTGGGTGCTTCGACACCACAGCAAGACTCTGCCTTGGCAGAGGCACTCCGTGTGTGGAGGAATAGTGAGCTTGGCTCCTAACCTTGGGCTGGCCGGGCAGCGTGGGTCACAGGAATGGCATGCCTCAAGGCGGGGAGGGGGGGGGGAGAGAGAGGAGGGGGAATAGCAGGGGCTTCTTCTCAAAATATTAACCCTTCTATTTGGAGAGCTGTGGCTGCCTTTGAAACCTCTCCTTGTAGACCTATACTTAGCGCTGGGTAAGAAGCATGCAGTGCGTATCTGTGTGTGCATGTTTGTGTGTGTGTGCATGAGTGTGTGTGTGTGTGTGTGTATGAGCCAGGGAGGGCTGGGGGCGGGCTCCACCCGCAGCCCCCCGCCTTTGTCCTGCGGCCGAGCCCCTTGAGCTCTGCAGCCGGGCCTCCCGCTGCACCCGGACATGGCCCCACGAGCCCCCTCCACATGTTCCCTCACACATCCCACACTCACCAGTTTTGGGGTGTATTTTTCTATTTCATTTGTTTTCTTTTTTTAAAAAAAAAAATATTTTTTTATTTGCCAGTGTCCCCTTGTTCTGCCCCCTTTCCTCCCCCCTTCTAAATTGGAGATGTTCTCAGGACAGCGCCCAGGAGACTGGCTGGAATCAGTTTTGGAGGGTGATGCACCGCGACAGCTAAAAGTTGGATAGGGTTTCAGCAGCTCCTATATATAAAGCAGGGGGGACTTATGTCACTGCACTAATTAAATTCCATCTGGGTTGTTCCTCGGGGTGTTTTCGAGCCTGCCACCCAACTCGAGCAGGCAGAGGGGCCGAGGGACAGCATGATGATGGACCTTTTCGAAACTGGCTCCTATTTCTTCTACTTGGACGGGGAGAATGGAGCCCTGCAGCAGCTGGAGATGGCGGAGGGTTCCCCGCTGTACCCAGGCAGCGACGGCACTTTGTCCCCCTGTCAGGACCAAATGCCGCCAGAGGCCGGCAGCGACAGCAGCGGCGAGGAGCATGTGCTGGCCCCCCCGGGCCTGCAGCCCCCTCACTGCCCCGGCCAGTGTTTGATCTGGGCTTGTAAAACCTGCAAGAGAAAGTCGGCCCCCACGGACAGGCGGAAAGCGGCCACCCTGCGGGAGAGGAGGCGGCTGAAGAAGATCAACGAAGCCTTCGAGGCGCTGAAAAGGCGGACTGTGGCCAACCCCAACCAGCGGCTGCCCAAGGTGGAGATCCTGAGGAGCGCCATCAGCTACATCGAGAGGCTGCAGGACCTCCTGCACAGGCTGGATCAGCAAGAGAAAATGCAGGAGGTCGGGGGGGACGCCTTCAGCTTCAGCCCCAAGCAGGCAAATGTAAGCACGGCCGCCCGGCACCCGGCTGCGGGGCCGCCGCTCCCCTCCCTCCCCGCCCGCCTCCCTCCTTCCCCCGCAGCCCCGGGGCACGGGGGGGCTGCCCCCCGCTAACGCAGGCACCTTCCCCTCTCCCCGCGTCCCCCCCTGCCGCAGGGCTCGGACTTCCTCGGCACCTGCGGCTCCGACTGGAGAAACCTCTCCGACCATTCCCGGGCGCTGGGAGCCAGCCCCAGAGCAGGTAACACCCCACTGTGTCCCCCCACCCCCCCCCTCCAGCCCCACCGGCCGCAGCCGCCGTCCCCACGAGGCACCCCCCCCGTCTCTCTTTTTCTCTCGCCTGGCAGGAGGCTCCGCCGTCGAGTCGTCGGCTTCCAGCAGCCTGCGCTGCCTCTCCTCCATAGTGGACAGTATTTCCTCCGACGAGCCCAAGCTGCCCGGCGTGGAGGAAGCGGTGGAGAAATGAGGCAGGGCCGGCGGGGCTCGGGCCGAGGTCCCGCGGCCCCCCCAAGCCTGACGGAGCGGCCCCCGCCGACCCGAGCCCGAAGGACTCCTCCTGACCCCCTTTTCACCCCGAGTTTTGTTTTCTTTACGCCTCGTCGCATAGACCAGCCTCCCCCCCCCCCCAAATTTTCCGTTTTTAATTTAAGAGACTTACTCGCGTGCCGGTGATCCGCTTTGCCCGAGGCTCACCGAAACGTCCATTCCTGTCTGAGTGGAGCTGCCGCCTGCCTTCCGTGTTAGCGGCGTTCAGAGAGGTCCCGCCTCGTTGCGTTTCTGTAAATACTTTTAGTACTGTCTTTTCTTTTGTAAACACGAAAAAAAAAAAAAAAAAAAAAGAATATATATATATTTAAATGGTGGGATGTGATATTGTATATAAGGACGGACGGATCTCCCGGGTTGTAAAATAAAGCCCTTTGTGTTACAGTGTCTCTCCTCCCGCTCAGTCAGTACTAAGCCGAGCCTGGAGCCCGAGCCCGCCGTGCCCTCAGCCGGACGACCCCGCAGAGCCGGACCCGTGTGGCAGAGGCAGCTGCGGGGACACATTTCCCTCTGCTCCCTCCTCTAAGGACCGTCTCTCCTCGCCCAGGCCCGCCCCGGCGGTGCTAATTACCCCCTCCTCCCCTGCCGTCTCCCCGGGGAAGCGGGGTCGGGCACTGGGAGCCGGGGGGAAGGAGCCCCCCAGCCGCGCCGTGTGCCCCTAAACATGCAGGGAGAGGGCACCGCTGGCTGAGAAATGGGGGTCTGCAGCACGCTTTATGGGCCCCGAGGGGCAGCGGCAGGCTGTGACGGTACCCGGCTCCCCGCGGGGCCGGAGGGCCGTGATTTCTCCCGAGGAAAGGCGACTCCCCTTGGCTTCCCTGCTACTTGAGGGAGAAGAGAGAGGGGTCCCTCGGGGAGGAAGGAGTTAAGCGGCGAGAGGAGGGGGGCAGCAGCAGACGAAGCCTTTCACTCAGTGATGTGAAAAAAAAAAAAAAAAAAAAAAAAAAAAACACAGCCTGTCCGAGGATGGCGGAGCGGCAGCTCCTCGCGGCCAGGACGTTCCGGTTTGTAAGGGATTGTTTGTAATCCCAGGAAGGGGCGACCACCGGGAAACCAGCGCGCCCTGCCCTGCGCGCACACACACAGCGCGCTGCGGGACAGCTGACAGAGGCACCGGCTTCAGCTCAAAGGCTCTGCTGCAACTCTTTGCCCGTGGGCGCTCTCCTCGGCAGCTCTAACCCCTGATTTATTTTTTGTTTTTGTTTTTGAAAGGTCACAGCCACGTTTCTGGAAGGTCTCACCCTTCCCGGCCACACTGGCACGGCTGCGCTCGCCCGAAGGGGAAGCCCTTGCAGGAGACGCGCGATGCCGGTGCCGTCCTTCCTCCCTTTTTGTTCGCCGTGGCCTGCCTGGTTTTAAACCTGTTAAGTAATTGCTCTCCGCTGAGAGCGAAATGAGTTGTATCCGTTGGTAACAACTCATTGCGGGGGTACGGTGCGATGGGCATGTGGTGACAGAGGACACACGCTTGCCCCCCTTTTCTGGTTCCAAATAAACCCTTTGCTTTGGGGAACTCACGGCCTGCTAAGAAAGCGGCGCCTCGGGGAGCTCGGGCTCCTTTCTGCGCGTAATTTGGAGCTCTGGAGAAAGACCGACGAGTCCCGGGGTCCCGTCCCAGCGCCCAGCACCGCGGCCCGGCGGGGCAGGACCCCGGCAGGACCCCCCCGCAGCGCCTCCTTCGTCGGCTGGGCAACTCGAGCGGAATAGATTTGCCCCAAGGAAGTTTTTTCATTAAATAAAGAAAATACCTCCCGAAGAGACGCTCCGTGACCCCCGTGCGGCCGGCGTGCCAGGCTTCCCGGCGAACTTCTCGGTGTGTTTGCAATTAAACTGTTTGCGTTTGATATTAATAACGATAATCTTCGCCTAAATCCGAAGCCAAAGCAAACAGGGCCGTGGAATCACAGAACCAGAGGGCAGTCACCGGGGGAGGCTGGGGATTTAACCCAGCCTTTCTCCCCAGGCGCCCCGCAGGGAGCCAGCGGGGCGGACACGGGGTGCCGGCGGGCACTGCGGGGCGCTCCCGCAGCTCGCCACCTGCCCCGCGCCCCTCGCCAGCCCTCCCCGCAGCCAGCCACCTGCTCACGCACCCGGGGAACCCGCACGGAGCTGCCACTGCCCTCTCCCGAGGGGAACCCGCACTTTTTTTTTTTTTTTCCAGAGCTTTCACCTTCCTGCAGAAAACGAGCTGCGGGAAGGGGAGCGGGGGGCAGGGGAGAGAGGGGGGTGAGTAATTGAGCCATGTGCTCGCCGGGCCGCCCCTTCGGTAGCAGGAACTAGCAACTTTTCCCAGTCTCAAGGCTGCTAAAAATCCCCCTCGCGTCCCTTTGATCTCTCCTGGGAGTCCCAGAGTGCCAGCAGAGGCCAATGCCTTCTTCAGCTGTCTTCCATACAAATCCCTCTGGCAGGTACTAATGTGTTTACTTAGGTGTGCGCCGTTCCCAGCGCTGGGGGGAACCAAACGTTTCGCACCCTCCTGCAAGCGCCCGTCCACACGAGCCCAACTGGGAAACCGCTTTGCGGGGAGCCCCGAGGGGTCCCCGCCGCCCCCTGCCCCAGCGCTGCGGTTCCCGCAGGCTCAGGGCACAAAAATCGCCCCCGCAGCGCCGAGCCCCGGCCGTGCGGGCCCCCGGTGCGCCCCAGCCCCCCGGCACCGTGCCCGTGCTCCGGGTCCGATGCTCCGGTTTCAGCTCGGTTTGTTCCAGTAGCAACTCTCTGGGTGTGAAAAAGGATTGGAAGTGCTGCAAACGGGCCGAAGCCATGCAGAAATGCGTGCAGCGCGGCAGCGGGGAGGAAAACCTCCCGAAGAGCTCCTGGGCACCATTTCCTCCCCGCCGGTGCCCGGTTGCTCCTGCCTTGCAGGCTTGAGGCTCCCGTCTCCTAAAACGCAGCGCTGTCACACACCCGCACCCTCACACACACACACACACCACGACCAGCAGCCTCTTAGCTGCTGTTTTCTCTCCCCTGTCTTCAGTTCCGCTCGCCTACCGCACTTTTGCAAATTTGTTTTGAGATCACTTTACCAGAGGAGCTGGGGGCTCTTCAGGGATACTAATTGCAGATTTTTTTTTCTTCCTGAGTGACAGGCTGTTCCATCCTTTCTTCTTCTCTCCCCCACCCCCATATACTCAAGGAAAAGGAAACCAATTTTCCTGGGTCCTCCAGGACTTTGGGGAAAAGGCACGTTTCTTCCCAGCCCCAGCCCCGCGGGATTAAGCGTTAAACTACGAGCTAAAGCCCTGCCCGCAAGGAGAGCTCAGCGGCTGGCATTGTGCTCCACGGGGCAAGCCTGGAGAGAAACCGCTGAAAGGTGATCGGAACTCTGCAACCGGCACGGTAAAGAGCAAGTTTATTTGTGCACAAAGCATAAATCTGTAAACAGGTCTATTTTAGCCGGCGCAAACGTGGTAAATCAAAGTGTGTGTGTGCGTGTGGCACAGCCCAGGAAAGAGTTCAAGTTACCGCCGAGCAGAGCCCTCCTGACTGGCGGCTTCTTGGGAAAACAATAGGGCACCGCCGTGTTTCAGATGTGGCCCAGCTCGGCATCAACCTGCACCTCGGAGCGGCAGAAGCCTGACATTCTGAGCTTTCCCCTTTCTGTAACTTTACTCCTTTTATCAACTTTCTGCTTTTCCTACAGTATTCATTTCAAAGGGGGCTCCCCCCGTTTATGGCCCCAAATAAACCAAAGCAGCGCAGATGTAGCCTTCCCAACCCTTCAGATAATCAGGCATCCTTTCTGCCGAAGCACGGTGTGCTGCCGCTTGCATTTTCCTTCAGGCTGCCCGAGTTGATGCGAGGGCTCCTCAGCGGCGTGATCCCCTCTGGGGAGGTCCCCCCATCGCGCTGCTGTCTGCAAGGCTCCTTGAGCTGAATTTCCCAGGGCTGGAAATGCCCCGCATCACCTCCTCCCAGTCCCAGACGCCTTTCCCTGGGCGCACACCGGGCTTTTGAACCATCTCTGGGTCACGCTCCCTCTCCGTTTGAGTTAACCCAGGGTGCAGGGTTATATTCCCAGGTAGGGAAAGTTTCCTTTGCCCTCTCGTAGTGTTTTCCTCAGCTACAAAAGCCACCTGGATGAAACCAAAGGATTCCTGCGCGTTAGCAAATGCCTGTTAAATGGCTTCATTACCACTCTAATGACCCTTGCACAGCTCCACTCGGCTACTGCTGCGGCTGGGTCTCTGCAAAGCTTTTGTCCCTGACTTGTGTAAAGTTACTTAGGGATTGCGGGGTTAGAAATTTTACACTTCCAGGAGGGGTTTGTTGCGCTGGCAGCTGGGACGCATCTGTAACGGTACAAGATTGCCTGAAAGCAGAAAATTAGCAAGCTCAGGGCGCTGCTCGACTGTTGTGTCTCTTGCAGCACCGGGTCACACGAGTAGGAGAAGGAATGGGAAGGGGATTTGTCTCGGGGAAAACGCGTACATTTTCCTTTGTGAGTACTTTTCCGTGTGACCCGATCCCAGAGCACCCAAATCTATGTTCCCCCCACCTCGCCTCACGCAGTCATGCATTTTTGTCCCCCTTGGCGAACTTTAACAGTTAGTGACACCACTTTAACTACAGGACAAAGCACCCGAGGGCCAAAGAGAGGAGCAAACCCTTTCGGCTTAGTACAGGGCTGCTGGGACCATTTTCCCCTTTTCACCCCCAAACCTCACTCCCCCAAGACTTGGCCGAAACGTCGCCAGCAGCTTCACTTCCCTCCCCCCCCCCCCTCTAGAAGCGGCCGGCCCAGCCGGCGGCCAGAGGCGCGGTGCGGAGCGAATTTGTCCCTTGGGGGCTGGAGGGGGCTTGCCCAGCCAGCCGCGGCAGGGGATGCGGGGGGATATGCTAATGCCGGCCGGCCGCCACGGACCAGCCCCCCGGAACGTGGAGATATAAGGGCCCCCCGCATAGGGGAAAGGACACTTCGGCTTAGGTCGCTAATTAGGCAGGAAACCTCCCCGGCCAGCTCGCTTGCCCGAGCTCGGTGGCTGCCGCCCCGGGCTGCAGGGATGGAGGTGATGGACAGCTGCCAGTTCTCCCCGTCCGAGCTCTTCTACGACAGCTCCTGCCTCTCCTCTCCGGAGGGCGAGTTCCCCGAGGATTTCGAGCCCAGGGACCTGCCTCCCTTCGGCGCCCACCAGCCCGCCGAGCCCGCCTGCTCCGAGGAAGAGGAGCACGTCCGAGCCCCCAGCGGCCACCACCAGGCCGGCCACTGCCTGATGTGGGCTTGCAAAGC